TACATTCACTCCCCCCACCTACAATCCCTGCCGGTACGAGACTCGAACCCGCAACCTTTGGGTTACAAGTCTGACTCTCTAACCATTAGGCCACAACTTCCATGACTTCTTGGTAATATACGACTTCGTGCTGTATAAAATCACAAACTTCACAAAGATCTTTTTAGTATCTTAGTTGTATCTCCTAGACAGCACTCATAGCTTAAGTCGAGAGCAAATAAAGATTCTTGTTGAGGTCTCGTGCTTCTCAAGATTTTTCTCCTGAATAAACACCTCAGAAATCTCACATCTCTAGTTCTCAGTCATGGGACCAGGAGCTACTATAGGGCAAGGATAAGTAATGTCGGTCCAGGTGTGCCGATGTCCTGCAGAGTTGAGCTCCAACCTAAAAAAAAGAAACTCACCTGCCTGTAGCCTTGGTGATCCTGAAGACCTTGATTAGCATGCTTAGGTGTGCTTGATTAGGGTTGGAGCTAAACTCTGTAGGACAGCGGCACTCCAGGACCGACGTTGCCTGTCCCTAGAGGGTCCAACAGGGCCACAAAATGACTTAGAATTCTTTGAAATAAGCTATTAAAATAATTGTATTTAAAATTCTAAAACAACATAAGATTTAGGCCTACAACATCATATTTGTGCAGCTCTGAGCTCTCACTCAGACACTTTTATTTTGCAGTGCAGAGTTCTGCATGAACTGATTTTTCCATCCCACTACTGCAAGTTTCATTCCACACCCACCCACTCCTGCCCAATTATACTTTGAGTAGGTACATTTGGTCCCTGTTTACAGTGAATGTGTTCTCACACAGTTTAGCTTAAATTATGGCCCATTAATGTGGTCCTGCATTTAACTTTTTTTTTTTTCCACTGAGCATACACAAAAAAAATTGTAACGTACACTCTAAAAATGCTGGGTTGTTTCAACCCAAATTTGGGTCAAATATGGACTAACCCAACTTTTTGGTTAAAAATTTAATGTAAAAATGTAACCCAACGGTTGGGTTAGTCCATATTTGACCCAAAGTTGGGTTGAAACAACCCAGCATTTTTTAGAGTGTATAAGCCCATGGTTTTTTTTTCTTTTAAATTCAACATAAAAAAGACAAGTGTGGTATTTTTGTCTTTAAGGCCCATTACACCTGTCAGGGAACCATATTTTATTTTACATTTTTTAGCTTGTCTTGTCTTAGGCTATCCTTTGCCTATGTATACTCTAATGACGCAGACCTCTAACAGTGCAGAATTTTAGCTTACAAAATATTTTTAAATATCATCTGAATTATTTACACTCCTAGTTTCTTTGGTGTTAGAGAAGGGAGACTTTTTGCAAATAGTGGTCAGATTTGCCAAATCATCACAGTCTGCAGTCAAAGATCAGAGATCTCATTATGAGCTCAACCATTTCTCAAATTCTTCTAAGTCCGCATGATCTGAAGGCACGCTGTCCACATTTATTAGTGCATGTCAACAATTGTGTCATTTGTTTCTGTTTTCATTTTTCCCAGTTAGGAGAAACTTATAGAGTATATATGAGATCTGAGAATTGAGAAATGAGAATAAAAAATGTATAAGATAAGGCTTTTAGAAAATACATACACTCTCAAAAATAAAGGTTCCCAAACATTGATGCCATAGAAGAACAATTTTTGATTCCCCAAAGAACCTTTCAGTGAACAGCACTCTTAAAAATAAAGGTTTCAAAAGGGAGTTTTCACCGCGATGCCTTAGAAGAACCAGTTTTGGTTCCCCAAAGAATATTTCAGTGAACAGTTCTTAAAAGAACCATTTTTTTTCTTAGTGTGAAGAGCATTTTAATAATCTAAATAACCTTTTTCCACTGTAAAGAACGTTTTGAGGAATGAAAAATTTCCATGGATGGTAAAGGTTCTTAGTGGAACCATTGATGCCAATAAAGAACCTTTATTTTTAAGACTGAGTTCTTAAAAGAACCATTTGAAACATTTTAGAACATTTTAAAGTAACATTTTTCCACTATAGAGAACTTTTGTGCTGTGGAAAGGGTCTATGGCTGTTAAACTTTCTTTATGGAAACATAAATGCCACATAGAAATTTGGCTTATATATTTGTCTCGTTTTAAGCATAATTCTAACAGAATTGTAATGGTCAAATCCAGTAAATGACTAAATATAAATGTAAATGTTTATACTTAACATGAGAGCACATGAAATGCATTTATTTACTGCAGTGTGACAACTTAAAGAGCAATGTCTGAGCAGTAAAATATTCCCATGGGAGATGGTACCAGCTCAGTGATGAAAAGATTCACCAGTTCTTTTTATTTCAGTCTGATTGGCATTACAGTTCTGTGTGGATTCACTAATAATGTTTCCAAGGCAGCAGAAGTGTGACGTTTCAGCCCAGAGATGAGGTGTTTTGATGAGAGATGCAGGCACATGGCGACGCCACTGACGTTTAGCAGTCCATCATGAAGCTGCATTCCAGCAGGATGATGCTGAAATGATATCCAGCTGGGTGCGGTTTGGCATAAATGAGACGTATGCTAGGGCTGCCTGCAGTGATGCAAACTCAAGACATGAGTCATCTCATCAGCGCCGGCTTCCCATAAGAGCTGTTTATCATACAGCAGACACTGGACTTCCAGATGCAGAGCTCACACTGTCACGATTGCACAACCACACAGCAGACTCACAGATGCTGTATGGTTCTGTACTGATAAAAAAAAGATGGTAGGAGAACACCGTTTTACTTCACTGTTGTTTTAGTGTGAGCATAAGCTTTCATTTTAGGAATAGCTCAACCAGAAATGAAAAACAGCTAAAAATGTGCTCACTCGCAGGATATATACAAGATGTAGATGAGTTTGTTTCTTCATCAGAACAGATTTGGAGACATTCAGCATTATATCCTGCTCACAGATGGATCCTCAGCAGTGAATGGGTGCCGTCAGAATGAGAGTCCATAAAAACATCACAGTAATCCGCAAGTAATCCACATGACTCCAGTCCATCAGTTAACATCTTGTGAAGTGAAAAGCTGTTTATACATGTACAGAGGATCCATTGGTGAGCAAGTGATGTAATGCTAAATTTCTCCAGATCTGTTCTGATGAAGAAACAAACTAATCTACATCTTGGATACCCTGAGGGTGAATAGATTTAACACATTTTCATTTTTAATAAATGAAATATTTATTTAAAAATAGACATCAGATAAAGATTTGAATTGAAATAACTGCATTACCTTACTTGTAGATTAGCCTAAAGTTCCTATCAAAATGTAGAAAACAACTAGCCTAGCAACAAAACGAGCATTTCAAAAATATTATTTTAAATTATTATTACTCTGCGATCCGTGTTACAATTTCAACATATTAAAGCTAAAATGCGATATCTCTTCCTCTATTCCAGGGATTCCCAAACTTTTTTAATCAGCTGAATCTTAAAAATATTTACTTGAAGTACCCTCTGAGATTACAGTTAATATTTCAATAATTTAAAAACACATTTGCATGTTTACAGTTCTTTGATGTCAGTTAATGGACAAATTACATGCATGTAAACAAATACAATATTTTAATAATATATCTTGTTTTCATATTGATTGTTTTTGTTTTAAAATGATTTATTAGAATTTTTATGATTTCATTATATATTCATTGATTTTCATCAACTCTTTTTTCATCAACTCAACTGGTTTGTTGTTCTTTCAAGCAATGTGTTATTTTTCTTTCTGTGACTGGAGACTTGAGAGCTTCTCGCCATCTTATCAAAGGCAATTTTTTCTGTAGTCAGTAATTATTCTTAGTTGAAAAATGACACCAGTTAACTTGCAGTGATATTATAAGAGAGCGATTTCAGAGTGATATGATAAATACAGTTTAGTGGTCATTATATAAAAATATTTGACTGCTCAGTGACCGTCTATTATCTATTGTCAGAGTTGTTGGTAGATTCTGACACAACAGAGAGGCTAACACTTATGTTACATGATCATAAATTTTGGCCAGTGGTGTTAAACTCAAAATTGTCCAATTAAGCAGCCTGTAGCCTGTCTGATTACTGCAGATTACAAGGGTTCTGGGTTGGAGATCACACACACAAGGGCAGATGCTCAACAGGCTTTGTTTTTTGTCAGGGCTTGACATTTTCACGAGCATCCCATCTGTGTGCCTGGGTGTCTTTTCTGTCATAATAAGGGCTGGATATATATCCTGGGTTAATATATAATAAATGTATGTTTTTTTTTATTTATACATACCATTTAAAAAACTGGGGTCAGCAAGATTTATTTATATTTTAAAGAAATTAATACTTTTATGCAGCGAGGATACATTAAATTGATCAAAAGTTGCAATAAAGACTTTTACATTGTTACCTGAAAAGCTGAAATTCAGCTTTGCATCACAGGAATAAATTACTTAATTACATATTAATTACATAATATATATATTTTTTAAAACGTATTTTAAATTGTAATAATATTTTTCAATATTACTGTTTTTTTGCAGCCTTGGTAAACATAAGAGACATTCAAAAGCAAAAAAGAATGATCATTTTAATTTCAGTGCCCTAATGAATAACAATGGATAGTAATAAACAGCAAAATAATTACATTAATATATTTATACTAAAACATATATAACAATGCAGCTCTGTGAACATTTTTGTTGAATGGATTCGATTCAAAACAGACATTTAAACTGATTAATGGACATGATCTGAACCTGCCAACCGGGTGCAGACAGACACCGTGTAACAGTTTTCTCATTATCAACATGCTTGTTTAATCGATTAACAAATTAGTGCGATCAATATAATGTCTCTTGATGAGAGCAGTGGTTATTGATGAGCCCCTGCGTTGTAACACAAGACCTGGAAACAGGTATGTGTATGTCTTCCCTGTGTATTAAACCGACCATGTTCTGCAACACCCTTTCCCATGTTCCCTTGTTCCTGTGTTTGTTTTGGGGTCTCAGTGATATGATACCTTATGGCCTAACATGGTCTCGCTCTTACAGGTTATGCCACCCCACAGGCCGACTGGAAATCCAGCCGTGAAAGAGAAGGGCTGATCCCGGACCCCCCCGTGTTCCCGCAGCTGTGCCCCTCCTTGTCCCCATGGCGACAGGAGGCAATGCCCCCGAGACAGATGTGTTGATCAACCTGCATCAGGTGAGAGATATCGAGACCCTGCCTGCTGTTTTCAGGCTCTGTGACTTTTAGTCATACTGCTTCATGCCTGTTACACAAACCTCACATCTGCAGCTGTGTTGGTTTTGTGGTGCTGTCTAGCAGAAGTGCAGCTGCAGGTGGAGTTTCAGCGCTGAGTCTATTTTTGCATTGCATGCTCAGCAGAAAAACGGGTGAAAATGCACTGTAAATCATTATTCATCTACAACATTCTGCGATATGTGCTTTAACAAGACAATATAGAATAAATGAGTGAACTACTCACTGACTTTAAAAAGAAAAAAAAAAGTTGCTAGACTTCATGTTGTACTTGTTTCACATACAGTGACAGTTCTACTCTTACAATTCAGTAAACATGAATTAATCCAGATGATTCAAGCAACATATAACTATAGCTTGGGTTATGTTTAGATTAATTACCATTTGGATGTAAATGTGACCCTCTTTAAACTATATGTCATGATGCTGAAGTCTGTAATAGTTCTCAATTGCTAATTTCCTGATAACTTTTTTTTAATTATAGTGATTATTAAAGGAAATAATGTGAAAGCTTATCTCCAGCCAAAGAGTTAAAAAAAAAAAAATCGCGATTACGTTTTATCTCAAAATTCTTACTTTTTCTCTCGCAGTTTTGAGTTTGTTTCAAAATTCAGATTTTTTTTAATTACAATTTTTAATCAATTGTGAATTCATGTCAGAGTCACATTTTTTGTGGTTAAATAAACATTACACTATCAGAAAAAGGGGAAAAAACTATTCTATTTTATATTTTTACATTAACAATGTAATGAATATTCTATTTGTTAAAGCCATGTATGAATCTCATCAACTTAGTGATTTGAAGCATTTTACATTTATTCCAAAATAATAACTTAACAATAATATATTTTATTTTTGAACTTATGTTCAGCTATTCTTTTTAATAATTAACTTTTAACTATGTTTGAATTTATTGGCTCATCGGTCATCAAAGCTCGGTATATATTGGTCACAGACACGGAGATTTACTTCAGATTTAACCAAGCTGATTACTCACTAAAAACTCCCACAGATCAAAGAATCTGCCTATTTGAAGTCTTATTTTCACGTAACAACGTGGTTATATCTAAGTGTGTGAGTTGTTGACTTTTTTTAATTAGTCTTCCCATTAACACCATTATATTATTCATTCAGAATGACAAACACAAGAGGCGGGATTTATCGTGTGAACCAATCACAGCCAAACATAACCAGTCATATCCAATGATATCTCAATGGAGGCATTGCCTCCTCTCAAGTAACTTTCACCCATTCATTCTCAATTACCCCCCACTAAACCCACGGCATGCTAAGGTCAATGGTATGAAGGGAGGCAAGCCCCCGCTGTAACTTTACCTGCGGGTATCGCTGTTGGAATCCAAAGCGACTTACAAATGAGGACAATGGAAGCAATCAAAATATACATATATATATATATATATATACAGTATATATAGAGTTTAGTGCCAGAACTCTGTATATATGAAGAGTTCAGATGCAAAAGCCTCTAAGTGCCATCTGAAATTTTCATCTAAAATGAGCATTTTGAAATGATAAAAATACTCATTTTAGAAGAAAATTCCAGACGTCATTTAGAGGCTTTTGCATAAGTCTGGCTTTTTTCCCGCTGCAATTTTGCTTTTTTTTTCAGAATTGCAAGATATGAACTTGTGATTGCAGGAAAAAAAGCCAGAATCATGAGATAAAAAGTTGCAATTACTTTTGACTTTTCTTTCTTTCTTTTTTTTTTTTTTAATACCGTGGCAGAAATAAACTTCCATAAAATACTCAATGTGGTGATCCAGAATTCTTTTTTTTTTTGAGAGAGACCTTTTGATCTATTTGTTATTCTCTCTCTCTCTCTCTCTCCCTCTCTCTCTCTCTCTCTCTCTCTCTCTAATATATTTTAAAATGTAATTTATTCCTGCAATGTAAAGCTGAATTTTCAGTATCATTACTCCAGTCTTCAGTGTCACATGATCCTTCAGAAATAATTTTAATATGCTGATTTGCTACTCTAGAAACATTTCTTATTATTATCAATGTTAAAGACAGTTGTGTTGCTTAATATTTTGGTGGGAAATATATGGTAGAAAGACTTGGAGTGGAAAGGTTGCTGAGCGATGGCAGGTTTGGGGTCTGGTGGAGCAGTGCCAAGCAGGGAGGCGCAGGTGTTGGGTTACATGTGATGGCTGGACACACGGGCCGTACACAGGACAATAGCATCAGTCTGACCTCCGTTTCGTTTGACACTTGGGATGCACGGCTCTCAGCCAGTGTGTGCAGATCTGAAAGACCCTTTTTGTGGATGCCTCCATTGCATATGCGACAGAATTTTTTTTTCTCAGACTGGCAAATCCTGATTACAATTGACTCTCAAATTGGAAAGTTTGGATTTCTCATTTTATGCAGAGACCTTCAGTGTGGCTGCACAATTGATATTGCAACATGGCTTTTATTATTAATTGAATACATTTTATAATATTTTAATAGTTTTATATCAAATTGTGCAGTCATATTTAAGCTAAATAAACCGTTTGACCTGTTTGCTCTCATATTTGACAGTTTGTGTACAAGAAAGCATTAATCAGACGTAGGGCAGTAACAGAGCAAAAAAAAAGAAAAAAAGAAGCTGTTTATATCAGTCACATTCTTCTATGCATTCAACTGTCAACCTTCATCAAATTACTGTTGCTTACAATTCTGCAACCCAAATGAAAACTGAAGGCCGACTGTAACTGAGGAAATCTGCTATGTTGACAGAACTGTAAAAGAAATTCATATTTGTATCATAATCAGAGCTCAATAATAAGGAGCATCTCTGCTGTTATTCAATTTCTCCTTACCCTATCTTCATGTTATTTTACCAGTATTGTGATATGGTTTTTAATTAAACATTTTCTTTTTAAGTAATATATT